ATATCAAGCCACCTCGTGGCATCATCTCTCGGCACTCGGCCTCACATCACTCAAGCCACCTCGTGGCATATAAATGTATCTCAGGCCCTCGGCCTCATATCACTCAGCATATCCTCACATATGGCCCTCGGCCTCACTCAGTCCGAAAATCATCACAAGCCCCTCGGGCATTAGTAAAGCAGTAGTTCTCAGCCCAAAACATCATTTAGAAATATCATTTAAGTTTCAAATCTGAATATAGGTGGCTGAGTTTGTAAAACAGAAAATATCAACAGGACTGAGTTCAAGTATAAGTAAGACAGTGAGGAAACAGTGATAAAAACTCCCCGAAGGGTTCAAGTAATTGGCACGGAGCCCAAATATGACAATCATCCCAAATCATGATGATAACAAGTAAATTTTAGTCAAATACACGGTAAATTCATCAATCGGGACGGACCAAGTCACAATCCCCAACGGTGCTCTACCCTACGCTCGCTTTCCGGTGTGTAAGTCACCTCAATATAGCACTAGGATGTGCAAATCCGGGGTTTCAAACCCTCAGGATATCATTTACAATCATTACTCACCTCGAACCGGCGAAATCTCTAGCTCGCGACGCCTTTGCCCCTCGAATCGGCCTCCACGCGCGTCGAATCTATCCAAAATCAGAACGAATACGTCACAATATGCTAAGGGAACAAAGCCCAAGCGAAAACACTCGAAAATTATCAAAAATCCCGTAATTAGCAAAACCCGAGCTCCGGGCCCACTTTTCGAAACTTAGAAATTTTCAGATCAACGGGTTCCTTATCCTCCCACGAGTTCATACATACCAAAAGTTCTCAAATTCGACCTCAAATGGTCCTTCAAATCCCAATTCAAAAGTTCAAAATCCCAGCCTTAGTTCTTCCATTTTTAGCTTAAATTCCATGAATTTCTAGGTTAATTTCACAATAGAATCACGTTTTAGGTTCATAAATCTTACCTCCAATCACTTCTCCTTGAATTCCTCTTCAATCTCCCTCAAAGAGATCTCAAAATGATCAACTATGGTGGAAAAAATGGCTCAAAATCGCGGATGAAATGTTTTATAACTTTCTGCCCAGCACTGAACTTCCTTCATCGCGATCGCGGCCCAAGCCTCGCGTTCGCGTAGAGCAAAAATTCCAAGGCTCAAAAATGTACTATGTGAACGCGACCCCACTGATGCGAACGCGAAGAGCAAAACACTGGACCCCCAATTACTTATACGCGAACGCGAAACACTGTACGCGAACGCGAAGCACAAGCTCACGGCCCTCCGCGAACGCGAGACCTCAAATGCGAACGCGAAGACCAAACTCAGGCCAGCCCAAATTCCTTCTATGCGATCGCGAAGGCCAATTTCT